CCTGGCCGACGACCTGGCCGACGACCTGGCCGACGACCTGGCCGACGACCTGGCCGCCATTTTGCTCCACCGCCGACAGGAGTGCTGCCAGGAGTAGGGCCAGGATCATCGATTCTCGTATGATCATCTCTTCTGTCTCGCCGCGACACGCCCACCTGCCTTAGCCAAATTCCGGCTCACGGTGACTCGTGTGTGTGTGTCGTCGGCGTAAAATCGCGCGCGCTCCGATTACGCACTACCTATCGTTCTTTCTCCTCATGGTCGTGGCCGGCGATAATCCCGTCGTCGTCTTCCGCGTCTTACGTATCGGCGCATTGTACGTATTGCGACATTCCACGAGGATGGAGATTAATCGCGCGTGACAACATGAATCGCCATCCTCTGTCCGGCGACGCGACGCATTTTTTCTTTATTTTTCCCCCCTACTCGAACGGAGTAACCCGAATTAAACCTGCGCACCCGAAAGTGGTGGGTGCTTTCTTCTTCGCCTTTTTTCTCCTCTTCTCTGTATCTGTTTCTCTATCTCTTTCTCTCTCTCTCGCCCTTTCTCTCTTTCCTTCTCTCTCTCTCTCTCTCTCTCTCTCTCTCTCTCTCTCTCTCTGTTGCTATAATTAACTGTAATGCACACTCCCGATTTTTTAATACAAACTCTGTCTGGTACATGGCGTTAATATTGATCGTGAACGATAAAGCGACAAGACGAACGACTAAAAAGCAACTTTATTTTTCCTGAATTATAACGTCCCGAAAAATTTACATGGACATTAAAGAGGAAAATACCAACAAATGCCTCGATAATAACGTATGTTTAATTGGAAACATTCACCGCTCGCAGACATTCCAGAGGAGGTTTACATTTCTCATTGGCGTCGCTATAAAATTGACTTTACATCGAGAAGTATCGATATTCATGTAATGCAATACACACACACACACACTGTAATTTTCTTTTTCTTAAAGCAATAAATAATTAAATAAAAATCTGTAGTTACGCCTGAAGTGCTTTTGCAGTCTTGATAGATACAGGATGTCCCATTTTAAACGATCACCCTCCCCCCAAATTTTTTTGTTTTTAATTGTAGAAAGAAATGTTGTAGCCGAAAATTGCTTGGTCTAAAGAGGGACGAATAATGACGAATCAATTTTCGGAAAAATTAATTTTCAAAGGTCACCTTCAATTTCTTAAATGGGATACCGTATTTTTAATAACAAATTCTTATAGTCAACATCGTGACGTTTCCAAAAAATTGTAATTTTTCAGATTTCTGTTGAAAACTCGTACAGATATTACATAAAATTTTCCGACATTGTCGGGATTAGAATTATCCAAGGTGTACCACGCGGAGATTGCATGGTCGGATTTACACCTCTTTCGTGTGCATGTGTGTGTGTGTGTGAGTGGATTTGTGGATGAATCGGTGGATGGGTATGTGAGATAATAGGACATATGAAGCCCGTGACTCGTCACTTTCACATTATTTTTAGAAACTAAACTTTTTCCAAACTATCATGTACTCTACTGCGTGAATAGATAAATAAATAAATAATCACATAATAAACCATAAAAATTCATAAACGTTTGAACGTGTCCATTTTTATTGATACACAGCTGAACTCAATATCAAAAATTCTCATTAACTCTCATTAAATAATTCTAGATATCAGAAAATTCGTAATATTGTATCTCCGCGAGTTCTCAATAGAAATATGAAAAATTATAGATTTTTGAAAACATCTCGATGTCAACTGTAAGAATCTACTGTCAAAAATAGAGCACTCCGTTTAAGAAATTAAAGGTGACTTTTACGTGAAGAATTGATCTTTTCGAAAATTTATTTCATCATTATTTAGCCCTCTCTAAACCATACAACTTTTGTCTAAAACAATTTTTTTTAAATTAAAAACAAAAAAGAATTTTAAGAGATGATTGTTTAAAATAGGACACTCTATTGATGTCGAATGGAGTCGAAAATAACCATTTTGTATTTAAACATTTTCATATTTTTGGGATTAAACGAGCAATCGATCCTCTTCAGAAATTAAACTCGACACCACCTAACAATAGAACTTTTAAGTATTTCATATTTAGAATCACAACGTGCCGTTCCGAAAATACAGTCATCGATCGCTGATATAAGATACATCGCAAGCAAAAATTTCTCCCTTGAATATTTATGTCATTCAAAATAGGAGACAACTGCATCACTTAATAATTGATATGTCAATAAAAATGTTAGAAAAATGCATTAAAAATAGCATAAAGTTAAAAACTTTTATCTTATCTATTTTTATTACGGATATTTGCAGCCACTTACAGCTCTACGAACAATTAACGAAGGTGCGGTTACTTTAAAATATTACGTATATAGGATAAAAATACATATTTGTTAAAGATAGTTCTTTTTTAGCCTCGATTAAATTAGCGAGCAAAGAAGCACGATAGGGATTTCCACTTTTATTTTTATATTTCTTGTCTGCGGTTTTCCTACTCGTTTTAAAAACCTCAAGAGAGTCAAAATTGAACGAGAAATTAAACAAGCATTTTTGGCAGATGATATATGGTTCTTGTAAAACTACGAGCCACTCTGTCCTTTTAATAGCCGACGCTATTACTGTTAAAGTGAATGGTATGCGACATTTACAACCTCTTCGATCTAGATTACTTTTTAAAATATTTTTTGGTATTACAAAAATTTGCTATAAACAATAATCTTTAAGATGACTAGGTTTTAATAAAAATTGTAAACATTTCAAATTTAATTTCTTTTTACGTTTCTGCTATTTAATTATGAGATATCGATCAAGTTATATAATTTTATTATGATAGTGCAATAGAAAGACGTAATCCAAAATTAGTAAATCACACTCGACTGCTAAAAGTGAAACCTATAATGGAATCAAGGAAGTATTGTTTCTAGTTAGCCATCGAAATTGGAACATTATTCGCTGGTCATCGCAAACGTTCTTATTGTCCGACGGCACTTTCTCCGGCGTATTCACGCTCGGTGCATTTTTTACTGCCTTGCAGCGCAACATGTCTTTAAGAGAGAATGACAGCCTACGTAGAAGATTTTACGTTTACCTATGCTTAAACAACTACGTATAAAAATCGACTAAGAGGCAATAATAATAGAGTGTCAGAATTGATGTAGTTGATTTATCGGAATTTAATGATTCTTGAAATTGATGACTATTGGATGGAAATTTATAAATAGTATGTATATGACGGTGTTTACACGTGATTTTGATGAGGTGTAATTGCGGAAATCGGCTGCTAAGTCAGCGACAACAATAGACGGTTAGACCTTGATTAATTTTTGAAGTATAAGTGGCTTGCTGGCTGAAACAGCTGTGTATAATGACGCTCGAGTTTATGTAGTGGTGTGCATGTGATTTTGGCAATCACGCTTCAGACGTAAGCGACGGCGAACTCTGTTAATTGCATCCTGCCGTTTCGCGCCCGAATCGCTCCTGCGACCAAATCGAGTGGCTTTTAATGATTAGCGACGAATAATTGTCGATCAAAACGGAAAGAATAAATATTAATCGATCGGTTATCTTACGCGGATGATTCAACCAAGAAGAATCTTAAGCTACGTATCGATCGTTCATTTACATGCCTTATTTTGATTTATTCCCATTAATCATTGGTTTGCTGAATTAATCAACGAATACTCATTAGCGTCACGCACAATGTTTAGTAAAGTGCTCGAAGTGCTTAAAACTTTATTGGCTGGTGAGAACTTGCAATTTTTTTCGAAATATGTATAAATAAAATTTATACATATTTCTTATTATTTCTTCTTATTTCATATTTCTTCTTATTTCAACAAAAAAGAGATAAAAATTAATAATCCGAGAAAATTTAAGCAAATTAAAAAAAAAAAATAATTTTTAGTATAAAAATTTTAAAATAAGGAGGTTCATGATTCTCATGAAAGTGGAATAAATTAAAATAGCCAGTTTAATATATAATGCCAAAAATTGTAAAAAGTTGTGGAAATGTAATATTTTTGCTAAAAAAGAACTTGACTTTAACTTTAAACTCATCAAAATTCGTTAAATTTGTTAAAATTAAAACGGGTTGTGCAGAGCAGAATCTTAATTGATCATTAATTCTTTGACGTCATCGTAAGCGCGCCTGTAAATAAATCGATTTCCGTTCACTGAACGCTCGCGCCGACCTTCACTTCTCTCAATACCCACCCAATCGGCACTTCCTTCACTTCCGGGCGAGAAATAATTGATAATTTTTTTACTTTCCGGCAAGATCGCGGAGCAGATGCGTAACATACGTTTTTTTTCCACAGATTGCGCACAATTCGGAGACGCGTGCAGCTCGTTAGCGCTTCGCGAAACAAACTACTTTCATCCAACGAGACCACTTTCCACTGCCGATATCGCGGCGATGCAGCAAGCTCGGCAGGTGTGACGTCGAGCGCGACATGGGTCGTACACCTACGGCTCCTTTTCGATTCGAGTCATGATGGAGGCCCCAAGGCCGGCATCGCATGCACGCACGATATCGTTAACTCTTCTACTCGATTCAATGACACTTTTTACGACTTCCGCCGCGCCGTCTTGATCGAAAGGTCGGCCCGAAACGGGTAAATTAAATTTATCCGTGGAAATTCGTCCTCGATCAGGACAATTGACGGAGCATTATAACAGTCATTGCATGATCTTGAGAATGTTCGTCATTAAAATTAAAGCGGCAGATTGTGGAACGTTCTGTATATTTTAACTGCTCAAATGGTATCTTAATTAATTATTCTAAGCATCATTGCACACGCATCTGCCATCAATTTCCGAATGTTCGAAGCTCGATCGATCGATTTTTGGCGTTTTTACGTGCCGTCCTAGCTCATTAAATACTATAATTAATAATATAAAGATGATATCTAATTACAGTTGTTTTTAAAAATTTCACAAAAATACTCTCTAAAATAATCAAATAGATGCAATTTTTATTAATTTGGAACCTAAAAAATTATATTCATTCTCGCATATTTTAAGAATTACTTATTAGAGAAAAAACCGAAACTAACATGTTTCCTAAAGCAAGGCATATTCTTATTTGTCAGACTTTCTCAAAATTAATATAAATATAAACATAAGCATAATCTATTTAGTGAATTAATTCATTAAAAATCTATAATTTCTCATACATTTGTACGCTAAATCAGCTTGTATCGAGAATTTGTCCTTAACTTTAGAAAGTTTTATTTATATAATAAATTACGTCCAATCCAAAAAGCGATAAATATCTTTTTTGATAATATCAAATATAAGATTCTACATGCTTATATATATAAAATAACTTTCTAAAAATATTTTATTTTTATATATTTTTATCTGTATTGATTCTTCTGACACCCTTTAGAAATGTAATCGAATTACAAGCTTTATCATATTTTATGATCTATGACTAACATAAATTTGACTAAAAAACATTTAATATAATGCCTTGACATTTTATAAATAGATAATAAAAAGAAAAGAATATTGCTTAAGATTTTTATTTTTACAAAATAATTAAAAATTGCGTAATTTTATTTTCATAATTTTTAGTAAATTTGTATTATTTAACAATTTATCAAGTCTAAATATGTCCTATTAATTTTGAATACTAAAAATAATATTCGTAATTTTAAATATTTGCCAAACAATATAAGCATTCGTAGAATTGATTTTCTAATTATTTTGAGTGGTATTAAATATATAAACTCGGTAAATATCTGCTAAAATTTTTCTTTGAAAGAAAAAGATATAATTAAAAATTGAATACCAATATTGAAAAATAGTATCTATAATTTCAGATATCTGGAAAATATGGACATTTAAAGGAGCAGTTTCTTAATTGTTTCGAACAGTGTTATGAATGAAGACAGCACATGTTAATTTTTATCCTGTAGAACGTCATAGAAGATCAATCGAAAATGCGAAGGGTATGTTAACTATATCCAAATTGTTAATGACAATCGTCGCTGGACGCTATCTGATGTTTTCATATAGGTCTAATGTCAATTTTCATAGCCGTGTGATTTTTCATGTGAAAAAGCTAGACTGACCTCGATTGTTTGGTGTTAAGTGAAAGAACTGACGGCGTCATCGGTTTTGCATAAGAGCGTTATATACGCGGTGTTCACAATAATATATTAAGATTTTAGCAATTGATAAAAACGTGCTTTCATTGTTGTAAACAGTATATTACGATCAAATATATCCAAAATTCTTTAAAATATAAAATCCATTTCTTGGATCTCTAAAAATCTCATTGTCTATTTATGTGCACGTTATGCATATTTACATATATATATATGCGAAATGCGTGTGTTTTCCGTAATGATCGACGGTTTGATTAAAATAAATTGCATTTAAAAACATGAAGATACAACCAGTCGCGCTCCGAGCGATTGGAGGTTATTATCGCCTTCGATTCCAGAAAAAAATAAACGATAAAATATTCAGAGGTTTAAAAATTCAAATAATAAAAACGTCGATTCAAGATATTGTGTGCAAATTGGCACAAAATAAACTGAGCAGATGCACTGGTTCTGTTCGGATTAATTTCGAATCTTCATATTACACACAAACACACACAACACACATGCGCAAACACATACCTTTTTTAGAGCATTCTGCATACGGCTCTTTGCTCGCTTCTGGTCATGTATTTATTCTCGTATGACTCGGCCAAGGCTTATTTAATTAAACGTTTACCACTGATATCGACATTCCAGAATCTTATCAAACGCGAAAAACGCATAAAATCTCACCCGCCATCAATCTTTCAGCAAGCGTCTACAAGAGCGTTTCGCACTATTGAAATCCAATCACATTGCTAGACGCGGCATATGCGACACAAGAAAAAAGAAAAAAGCGCGGGGCGTTAATTCACGACATCCGGCTGCTTTTGGCAGCTTACTGCGAGCCGCGACAATTTTTTGCAACGACTGTTCGCGAAAAAGCGCGAACCGTATCGTTCGACGGACACGTTAGATGGAAACTCTGGCGATCGCGACACGAGGCCAGTGTTTGATGGAAGCAGTCGATTGGCTGTAGAGTTATCTACTGTCTTTTGATAAAGCGATGATAGTGATCACGCACAGTGTTTGATGTATCAAAGTTGAATCACTATATGGAAATCCTGTTATCCCATTAGAAATTTTATTTTATCTTATGTGCGCTACATTAATGCAACTATGAAGGCATCAATGATCTACAGACGATCTACAGATACACAAGCTGTTTCTGTAGATATATTAACGATAGAATTTGCAGTTTTATGCCGATCGAATAATATTTTGACAATCCTCCTGATATCTTTGAATGCCATGTAAATCTTACATATTTGTTCTCTAAAAGTATTGTTATCTAACAGTACTTTTTATAGATGAATTAGAAATAATATAGAAAAGTAAAATTTAATTGAAAAAATATTTCGAACAAATTTTTATCATGCCATATTTATATATTTACAAATGCAATTTATATTTTTATCTACTTTTATACAAGTAGAAAAGTTTGAGTTTAGTTTTCCAACGTTAGAAATTGTTACTCCAGCTATTTTTATATAAAATAAATGGAAATGTGTATAAAAATAGATCAAATAAAGCGATTGATTCTTACAAATCTTATTTTTAACGATAATCGATCTATGGAACAAAGATAGTTAACAACAGCGTTACTATCTTAAGAGATGTATTTAAAGGTTAATATATTTTTATAAGTGTACTACAGGTATGCTAAAAAGAATCACACGTTTTTATAAAAAGCATGTCGTACTTTTATTTATCATGTAATACATTTTCGATGTTTATATACTAACTACGCGTATTTTGCAAACATGCATATTTTTGGTTACAAACAGAAATGACAGATGCAATCCGCTTATTGGTAACGATTGTATCAATGCGTACGCTTTATCAAAGTATATGTCCTTCCAATTTTCGATTAGACAGAGTTTAGTTTTTCATAAATTATTACAAGTATTTTTAAACATTTGCATCATTTTTGTGCATCCAGATGATTTTTCATTTATACAGCATTGGAAGGCAAAAATTCTAATCTATACAGCTTCAATAATTCTATTATCAAAGATCTAACAAATCTAATGACCGAAAAAGAATCATAAGATTCCCTGACTCCTAAGTTCAATCATAGATATTTTAAAATCTGATTTTGGACTTTTGTTTTACCATATATATAATATTTGTATTTTACCTATTTTTATAGTTGAAGTAGGACAAAATTGATTAAAAGTTGTCTTGTTAGATAATCATAAAAATAACGATTTACTTATTTAATCGCAAGACAATATAAATTTTCCACTTACAAAATAAAAATCATGAATAAGCGAAAGCTTTTTATAAAGTCATAACGTAAGTAAATATTCATTTTCTGTAAAAGTAAAGACGTTTAGTAAACAAAAAAGTAACAAAAAAAAAAGAAGAAAAAGTGTTTATCTATTCTATAAAGTGTCATAGAAATATATATTAAATCGATCACTTATTACTTTTGCTTTATATGTTATGTTTCGTATGTTTTCTTTTATTAGTTTGCAGTAAGATCCAAAATGCACAAAAAAAAACTAGAAAATCTGATATTGAGATAAAGTCCAATGCGACTTGATGTTTATATAATTCAACAAATAGATATTAGCTATATTTTAAATGTTCAAATATGATAAAATGGCATAAACTGCAAAACTACTTAATTGTTTGAATTAAGAAAATATGCGTTGAATGTTTGTGGCAACTTCTAGAGGTAGCTCGGTACAAAGCGCATTCCAATCATCAACAAAGTCTCGCTGAGCAGACCTGATGAATTCCATGACGAGATTTCGCGATTCTGTAAAGAAATGATTTTTGTATAATTCAGCAAACAAAAAATTTGCCAGCATATTCTTGGTAATCTTTTTAAATTTAAACCAAGTTAATATATATTATTATATATATTAAACACTCGATAGAATAAAAACTGCCACTTTTTTTTACAAAGTTCAACAAAAACAAGTGCACCTAATTTTGTGCGTCTATTTACAAATGTAAGTAAGTGAAGATAGTGTTTCAAATGTTTTTTTAATGTATCCTTGGAATAGTCACTGTGCTTTGAACACTCACCATCGTCGGTGGTCTTATCTTCGTGTAATATGATAACCGCCACTTTCAACAACGTACGAATATGGGGTCGCAAGATAGCGACTCCGGCTTGATATAGCGTAAGAATACTCTTAAACACTGCTTTGTGCTCCTGGTAGTCTGTTTTCAGAGGTAATTGTTGAACATAAACTGGGAATACTTGCTCGAGCGGCAGATTTGAATAATTCGTGATAATAAGTCGGGCAATCGCTCCGACCACATTATCACGCGCAGCCGAATCTGTTTCTTTTGCAATGGCACACGACAGGGTTTGCAGTATCTGTGGATAATGTCTATATTATAATTATTAAGGAATATCAATGCGTTACTCATTTAATTACAATTTTTTGAAATAAAATTCTTTACCGACTTCAGAATACTTCTTGATATTGAAAGACAATAAAATATTACGAAATAGCAAATAATTAACATACTAGAAGACAAATGACGATACATAAATAATCATTATTAAGTATTAGGTGAAAAGGATACGGATAAGCTGCATCCTTTGCGTAAAATGCGAGCTCTCCGATTCCGAAGAAGCAATTGCTACGGACTTCACTACAGGAATCTTGAGTCCCGCACTGCAGGAAAGTCGGAAGCAATTGTGGCACAAATGCTACTGTCATATGTTTAAGCCCGGGGAAGCACTCTGCAATCGTACCAACTGCGAAAGACCGTTGTCCCTCGGAACTGCCCTTTTTCTGAAAAGATTTCGTTCGGTTGAAATGTTGAAATCGCGAACTTTTAGAGATATACAGACGATTGTCTGCAGTACCAGTCTCTTTAGAAGCAGGGGCAACACTTTCTGAAAGCAGAGTGCAAAGGCGTCCGGCGAAATTACTTGTCCAAGCTTAGATAACACAGATCCCGCGCAGTCTATCAGTAATTCATCCTGTTCCGCTTCAATGTTATCACCTTCATCCTGGTCTTGACATGCTATCTTGCCTGCGACAAAAATTGCGATGACAAAACAGCCTGCGTACAAAAATTAACTAAAGTGCCAAATGCGAAGTGAAAATGTGTGAATTGTAAATACCATTTAATACATCGTAAACAGAGTTTATTATGCCTTCTGTATGGCCCGCTTCAGCGACAACATCCTTTTTGATTTTTCTTAACAGCTCTTCATACGCCTCTAAACCGGAAATAGCGACCGTTGGTTCCTCGTCTAATCTTATTAGCTCTGACAATTTCGGAACAAACATGAAAAGAGCATTCAACAATGCCTTTCTACCTTCGTCGGTGTGGATTTTCGAGAAATTAATGCAAAATTGTAGCAAAGCTTCTATGCTCGCTTTGCGTATATCTTCTTGAGGATAATTCATCAATTTAAAAATCTCTTCGAAGGATCTTTCGAGGTACGGCAAGAACGCCTCTCTGCGATTTAAAAATATTCCTATATATTAGAAACAAAACTATTCTAGTTACTACTTAAAGACCTCCAAAACAAAACCGGACGGCTTACTCTGTGTATTCGGCGATTTCTTTTAGAGCTAGCACGCTTTCCTCTTTCTCTTCGATATAAGCATTTTCAACGCTGTAACCTTCGATATCGTCGTCTTCATCATCGCTGTGTTCAATGTCCTCTTCTTCACTCTCGCTCTCACTGAGATCATCGTAAACTGTAAGAACGCCAACTTCATCGTCGTCCTTTAAATGCATCTGCAACGACGACATTACATCATGGCACTTTCGTTGCGCAGTGTTCGAGGTATTAGTAAGTTGCGCAATATTTACCACAATCCCATCTGAACTCCGTATACTCGCCAGCATATACTCGACGACCTCTGGTAAAGCTGCGGCCATCTCCTTCTTCATTACACTGCTAATGGCAGCGAACAGACCGTAGAGCGATTTCCGCAAGTCTGGATCTTCCGTGTTTTTCAACAGTCTTATGCCAAGATCGAGAGACGTGATCGCCAATGGTGCGAAGTGCTGTTCCCCTATCGATCTAGCAACCACGCCAAGAGTATCTAAAATATCAGTATATTCATTAGAATTCGAGTGACTAACCACATATAAATAATCATTATTATTTTTCTATCATTTTCCTCACCAACTGCTTGAACCTTGAGACACATATTCTCTTCCGTCATTTCTGCGGTCAGATAATCATTGAGAATGTTGATGACAGTTTGAAAGTACGGTAGCATGTGCTCCTTGCTAGCACAGGCGGCGGCACCCACAGCACTCAGCGAGAGTTCCTTCACGTGCACCGGCGTATCCCCATTCAAAATGTCGAACAATCTCTCCATCAGCTTAGGCAAATATGGCAGAATGCTCAAGTGCAAGTTCTCGCAGAACATCTCGAGGGCGTAGAACATACGGCTGACCGCGTGCGGCTCTTTTTTCTCTTGCTTGATGTACGAACACACTTGGCCGAGATATTCGAACAATACTGGCAGCAATTCGGACGAGTATTTCGAAATCTCTGGTTGTAAGTGCTCGGAGAACTGTCCCAAGGCAAAAAGCGCGGCGTTGCGCACGACGGCCGAAGGATCTGTGATTCCTTGACAGATACATCGCAGGAAGAATTCCAGGTAATTCGAACGTATATACTCGGCGCAACCTTCCGCTAATACGGCTATTGTTACGTACGATGCCTTCTTTGTGTATATATCTGTACTTTGGAGTCCGGGTTCGATATGTCGTAACTGTAAAATTGGTACTTTTAACTTCAGAACAATATCCTTAAATTAACTCATTTTCATGACAGCAAACGCAAGATAATCGTATCAATAATTTGCGAAAAAAATGCATTCGAAAATATGTATATATTAATTGACTTCTAATATCAATTTGCCATTTTATACGTGAAACTTTTTCACACTATTTCATTTATTAATTTTAAAATAAAAAAATTTAAATTGTTACAGATTAATAAATTACTTCAAAACTTACTAAATGTGGAATTAATTTCTCCGGTGGCAAATACATCGCGAGCATATCCAAGGTTTGAGTGGCACTCGCTGAAATAGTATTGTCTCCGCTGTCTCCGTTAGTCGTATAATCATCGTCAGCATCATTTTCTGGCCGATTAATCATGAGTACAAATAACATGTCTAGAAATAAAGCGAGCAATTAGATCTCACTGCCACGGCGTTAACTACTTCAAAATCGCTTACCAATAATAGGTTCTACTAATTTGTGCTTTACAAGAGCCTTCTTCTTTATTTTTCCTAACCAGCCAAGAAAACTGACTGCCTTAATTTTAAGGTCGTCACTTAGAGATTTATTAGCGACGATCGCAAGGCACATGTGGACAAGAGGTTTGATGTGAGGCGCTATCACAGCATTCGCACTCTCACACAATTCGTCCAGCAACTCAAAACTTTGGATGGCCAGGTTATCATGACATGATTCAGCGAGAGCTTGAATAGCGGCCATTGCAGGTGGCATCATTATAATATAAGTGTTCACCATCTGAAATCATATCATTTCTTCAGTAACAATACTTCAAAATATTGAATTTTGATATAAATACTTATCGCACATCGTACTAACCGATTCATTCTTTTCAATCAGAGGGATAAGATTTTTCATCGTTTTCAAAATGTAATAAGAAGTTGGATTTCTGAAGTCCTGAAGACTGCTCAACGTTTGAGCAAGGAGTACCGTTAAAGATCCAGCATACGAGGCATAGACATTTGGTGAAACTTCCGTCATAATTGATAAGGTGTACATACCTAACTAGAAAGAAATTTCCGAAACATAATAATAAAATTAACAATATTCTTAAAATATTGGTACCAAGTAAAATAAATTTTTGTATGTCACTAAAAAAAATTGATTTTTATATTTTACTTACTTCTTTAAGCTCCAAGTTTTCACTGACAACTAATTGTTCCACATAATTTATAACTTCTGGCCAACTATTTGTAAGTATCTCATGTTTAATAATGACACCTACTAATTGAACTATACTATTTCTAACAGACTTTGTCGATTCATTTCCTAAGGCCTGAAAAAATATGACATATTTATTTACGCATATATTATAAAAAGTATAATTACATAAGAATTAATTAGATTTTAAGTTCTATTTTTCTTATCATATTACTTTAATTTATTATAAGACATATAATTTTGCAATAAATATATTAGTAATTTAAAGCATATATATATATATATATTGTATATAAAGACTATGATAGTACAGAAAGAATGTAGTAAAAACATTTTTAACCTGAATTAATTTGACGTCATAACATTGAGTTCAAAAATAATTCTTAGCAAACGGTTGAAAATAAAAAGAAATGATTTATGAATCAATGCAATATAAAATTCTCTAGTAACTTAAAAATCATCAATATAATATATGAATCTCTCACCTGTAAAATATTCTTTTTAAATTCGCTACGTATCTGTAGAGGTAATTTTGTCCAGTTCCATCCTTTAGTATAACGCCTTCTAAGAATGAGAGCTGCATACTGCCTTACCTAAACATTCAGTTTCCATTATAAGTTTACTGAGATCCAAGAAATGAAATGAATCAATAACTACGTTGAGCAAAACAAATGTAATAAGCAACTAATTGCTTCAGATCGGTTCTTTAGGTTTGTCCAATCTGGTGTACACTGGTATATATATTAATCACCAATTGCTTACTAAGCTTCATTCTGTTGAATGCAGTTAATTTAATTCTGTCGAAAATCACAAACCTCTGGATTTGGTGATGTTGCTATAAGTTGACATAAAGCTGGTACAGAGTTTGGATCTTTAAGAGCACTTTTAAGATCTGCAGTTGCCTGAAATAAAATTAATAATATTGAAACATAGAATTATTTTGTTATAAAAAGTGATGCACTAAAAAAAAAAAACAATTGCTAAGTATAAGAAAAACTGATCGCAGGAAACTTTGCATTCGACAAAAAATTGAGAGAACAAGTATCAAACAATCTTCTGACAAATTTAGTTTGAACATTTAATGGAATAAAACACGTGTTTTCAGCTATAAAAGTCAATTCGACGAACATGCGGAAAGTAAAAGCTTACGAACTTGCTGTATTACGGCACTGTCGGACACGAGCAGATTCAACAGTAACTGCTCCATTTTTTATATTGGCCGAAAGATAAAAATTCACTTGACAGCACACGCGCTCGAAAACCAACCCGGTTGCTGTCCACGCCGTCATCCAGATCCACTCAGAATATCATGGTTCAGACCTGTTGGTGATGGCACTGATGGCACACGATACTCTGTTCTTTCTAGTTGCAATGTGTTACACTTTCTGCACTCTAAATAAAACAGGCATATTCCAACATATATATATAAATAGAGGAAGTATTTCGTTTAGAAAGTGAAGGAAGATGTCAGTTCGTGACTAAGAAATAATTTGTTTTAGACTACGTCTCACTTAACTAAAAAGAAATGTTTATAGATAAAAGACGATGCATTTATTTTAATGGTAAAAACAGAAAAATATAAGCCAGTAAGACCAAGCCTATTTTACCGATGCAGAAAAGAGCTTTTATCTGTTCACTAGTCTCGTATCACAGTTTTTTTTTTCCGACTTCTCAAATATGCTATACGTATATTGAAGCATTGAGCTATTATATTGGAGTGAGCCTTTCCCATAAAAACCAATGTGCAGTTTGCGGCCCAAGGATGGCAATAGTAGACGGGGACGTTTGTCTTTCTTCCACATTTACTAATGTGTATGCTGGAGGATATTAAAATCCAAGCAGACATGAAATAGACGCCCCCGACAATATAGCTCTCTCTTTTCTCTCTTCCATCTCCCCTCCTTCAAGGCTCACTCCAGTATGTTACATAGCTCACTGTATTGAAGTGAGGTGCTGCATCGTGTCCACGGATTTGCGTGATGTTGCCATCTAGCGATAGCGCAGCAAGAATACTGTTTAGGCGCGACGGAGCATTTAGGACCGATTTTTCCAACTTCTGGTAGGTTCATCCGTCAGTTACCTATTAATAAATATCAGTAATCCTTATACTCGGTGGTTGGAATACCGAGTAAAATTACATCAATTGTTATTACCAAGAGATAATTTTACTCGGTATTCGACGATCATTAGTTAAAATCGCCTTATTTTATAAACATAAATTTATAAAAAAAATAGTTAATATTTATTCCTATTCCTAATATTTTTTTTATTGTGCGCAGGATTGAATAATTATTTCAATACGATGATGCATTTATAATCATGTGGACAATAAATAACATCAATTTGATACAATATATAACATGTTATTTTATTAGTAAAGTCCAAATTTTATTACTGCAACTAAAAGAAAGCAATTTATTAAATACTGCACGAGTGATAAAGAATCTTAAAGTTTATACAACTAATTTAAAGCGCATTTATGTAACTAAATAATTAATTTTGTGTAATTAAAAATTTTACAAAAAGTTATTTATATCCATATTAATTATTTGAATATCTTTGTTTTTAATTATATATTAAATTATATAATGAATAAAAGCAATTATTAATATTTATTCAAATAAACTTGAATTATTTTGCCAATTATGTATTAAATAATTAATCACATATTATAATAGATAAATTATTAACTACCATATAATTAATTAATCTGGTAAAAACAAAAAAATATATAATTATATAATCATAAACAACATATGTATTTTTTTCTAATAAAGTGCCAATTTTTTAGTTGTTGCTTATAACATAGCGCAATCTTTTGCATCTGGATGACGTGACATTTTCTTTTTTATCTAGACATCTGCATAGCTTAAATCGCCAGTCTGTTCGTTCTGTTCTAGTCTTCCCGCATCGTCGACCAGTTTATTATTTTAGAGTAAACCCCTTCCTACAGAATCCTGCCCTCCGCTATATTTCTTGTTTGCTTCTCTCTCTCTCCTTTTTCTCTCTTTCTCTCTCTTTCTTCCCTCCTTTTGCTTACGTAAAACTCTTGAAATAATGTAGTCATCCAGATTTTTTAAATCAATTTTATTTTTAAAAAATTTTATATGCACAATAAATTGTACGTATTTTATGTGAGTGTAAAAATGTGCAAAAGAGCAAACCAAATCATTATGCCACTCAGTTTATTTATATTTTTTATTTAAATCTTATTAAGTTAAACAATCTTATAATATATGATAAAAGGTGATTATCTTTTTTATTTGAGATTGAAGTATTTTTATTACGGAGTCGTGTGGTTAAATATGTGTGTGTGTAATACTTAAGATATCTTTATTCTCTTCATGGCATGAAGCTTTACTATGAGTGTTGGTACTTGAAACATAAAAGAGATCTTAAGATTTTATCTTTCTTGACTTTCTTACACTTCTTGTCGTTTTCATTACTGCTCATTTAATCTATATATATATAGCTAAATATAGACATTTTTCTTAATGGATAAAAATTGTTCTCATATCAATCAAATGTGTTTGAAATATTGCAAAGATACTTTTTGAAATTCTTCAAAGAAAAGTAAGAGTTAACATAACTGAAAATTTATTACTACTTTTTATATTTATATTACAAATAAAATTTAATTAATTAACTAAAATATAAAAAATTATATGTACAGTTGCTGCAATATAATTCTTTTTAAAGTCGATCGAGTAGAAATACAAAACTGTGAACGTTATGTAATTCATATTTTATTTAGATTTTTGCAAATTATATTAATTAAATTTTCCGTTCTTAACTAAAAAATTAAAGTATTTCTTACGTCGCGCGAAATTTATCTTCTTTCTTGATGGAACTAATATCGTCTCAGCAATATGAACACCAAAACAGCATAGAGGCTGTCAGCGACGTCGTTGAGTGACTCTTCTTGCACCTCGTGTATGCATTCGTCGTCAGCTAAATGTGCATTCCGCTTGCAAGGTTCAATAAAGAATTCTTCCGCGCTATTTTATTCACTCTCAATATGTTAAAGAAATAAAATTCGGTCACGAGATCATTTTCTAAAATTTACTCAATTGAATCTTAATGATTGATTGTATTGATTAATTTTTAGTTCAGTTTATATATAGTTTTTAATTTACGTAATTTACACTTGTTGTTTGCTATGTTGATTCAATATTGTATCTTTTCGCAATAATTACAATAGTTTCCTCACCGTAAAAATAGTATGCTTTTTGCTAAGAAGAATAAAGCAATCTAAAAACTGTTATACTTTATCCAAATAAATCAGATAAAAAATCTTACGATGAACCATTTGGAAAATAAAAAGAAATGTATAGTCTTGCAAGAAATTTTTCTTTAAATCAATCTTTTGATTAATTTTATGATTTATAGATGATTAACAGTATGATTGTAAGACAATTTTTCATGTAACCAATATTTATTTTTTATAAAATTATGCTCTAATTAATAAAAAGAATAAAAAATTGATAAACACTATAAAGAATAAATAAGAAATGGAAAGATTTATAGGCTTTCTAACTAAAAAAATATTATGACTTATCTTTTCTTTATTTATTTTTAAAATCATAGATAATATTAAATTATTTAAATACTAAAAAAAATACCCATAATTAATTCTATTCGCACAAAATTCTACAAGATAAAACTTTAGAACAATCTCAGAATAAAAATCGTACAATTGGAGAATTTATCATATCAAAATTGTTTTTTACTCTTAGATAGATTCTTCTATTTAGTTATCTAGAAATCGTCTGAAGATTAAGCTCGATGCTTACAATGCGCGATAATGAATGGCAGAAGAATGATAGAATGTTGTAATTGTTTTAAAAGTTGATAATGCGTGTTTATCTGTTCAATAGATTTTCTTTTGTGACAAACTTCTCTTTGAATCTTTCTAGACTAAAAATTCTTACATTCGGTAAATTTTTTTTCGTAACCTTATGGCAAGCATTATGTTTTATCTTAGGAATGTACATATCTTTTATATCAGACAGATGTATAAATCTTTAATATCAGACGAAAATTAGGATCGTCAGGCTAAAAAAGTTGAAAAAGACGCCTTCGCTTTTATGGAGGGTAAATGTGCCCTTCCAGCTATATAGCCGCACATATTTCTCTATATCGTAGTACGTTGCAGTCTGTTGCTCACAATGTGTTCTGTCTGTCCACGAATATCTCAACATTCTGAAACCAGTATGTATTTAAAATTATTTTCGTACTTCAATATTCAATTTACGGTATAAATATCCAATTTACAGTATTTAATTTCAATTTTAGAACACTAATAGAAATTATTTATAAACTTTAGTACAGATGTAAATTTTTCTGACAAGACGAGGTAGTAAAAAGAAAATTTGATGAAGCTTTAAAGATCACGTCATCGAGTTTATTCGTCACACGATGACGATAGGTCTCCAAACTGTCTGATGACTGACGAATGTTAAGAAATTTGCTGGTCGGGGCGAAGTAAATAACAGGAAAAAACCTTCCGTGATATCAACAAACTGTTATCGTTACCGCAAAACCGTTGTGACGTAAATGGTTTGTGTAAGATCATTCTTCAGCTGCATCATTTACATTTATAGCATATATGATCCTCTGATGTCATAATTTCTTGGCACGAACAAATTTGTCGATACGTCAAAGAACCTCGAAGTCTCGACGTTCGTAAACTTGATAATATTGTAATAAAAAATAGTCCTCTAAAATATATCTAAAATGTTTAAAATATTGTTTGTGAACGGAATACATTCACATAAACATATTTATACATTCATATAAACATATAAAGATATATATTAACAGTATATAAGGAGAAATTATTAGATTCATATATATTTAAAAATATTTGGCTCACATATATTATATAATTTTTTAAATTTCTGTACAAATTTATTCTTTGACACTTATTCCTGTTTGTATAAAAAAAAAAGTAAAAATATTTTTGTACAAATTCTCGTTTTTACGCAATTATTATTCTCAAAATGGTGCTTTAATCTTTTAAATGTAAAATTAAATAAAACTATTCAATAAAATACTAAATACTTCTATACACATAATTATAGCACTTAATTCTAGAAATATTTCGATTATTGGGATAGATAATTTTGCGCGACAAAGAAATCAACAGAGAATTTTCTTAGCAAACATTATTTAATTGTACAGACTTTGTTTCTCCGTCTTAAACTTAAATTAATTACATCGATTGATGGATCATAAATATAAATAGGATATGGTCGAGATGCATCTACGTTTTTCTTTTTTTTTTTTTTTTAAAGCGGACGTATCTCTCGACGCGCGCTGCTATGCACGTTTGAGCCACGATCTCGTGATTTTTTTACGTAACTATATTTTACACTTTTATATATATTGATTATTAACACGCCCGCAATTGCAAATCAAGAGTTGATACTCTTTTCTCACAAATAGTCGGAATTGAACAATTTTTTAAACTAAGATTTTGAAAATTTCAGAACTATATGTAAATTAATGATTCCAAGTTCGAAGCAAAACGAATCAATGCTAATAAATCATAAATTTTTGTAGTCTTAGATATCAGAAAAATCAGTTTGCGATTATTTAAATTATATTTGTACAAATTAAATCACTTCCATCCATTGATTTGAAAAATATACCGCACGTTTAAACGAATTAGTTAAAATATTCAAACTAAAGAATTGAAGATTTGCAGCTTGTATACTGGCCTTAAAAGTTTTACTCAACAAAATTGTCTTTTTTGCAAATTTGGTTTCTATGCATAATTTTGCGTTTCCAGACAACATTTTGGAATGCCAATAATAAAACTAATTGAAAATTTGTCCATTTTTTGTTCATGACAATTTAAGCGTTAAAGTATTAACGACATATTGAAAATATGGAAATTTTGAAACTCTTCCGGAATTATATTTTTTGCCCGGGAGAGCGTCTTCACATACTGTACTTGAGCTGATCGTAGTACATCGTCGTGGGCGGCGGTGTCGACGCGTGATGAATATTCGTGGAAACTGTGCCAGGTATGTTGGATATGCTTAGGCCGCCAATATTGCTCAAATTTAACGAACCTAGCGAACTCAAGGAACTCAAGGTTACCGATCCTCCGGGATGCGCGAAGTAGGATGGCTTCCGGTCAACGATGCCACCACCGGAACTGTTCGAACTGGAGCTAGAATTGTTACACTGCATTTTTATTCCTGAAACAAAATCACAAAATTATCAATTACTTCAATATTACGTATCTATTCTAAGAGTGTTTCATAAAACACTAGAAAAATTTCTTTGTTTATTTAATTCTCTCTTATTAAAAGTGTAAATTTCTATAATTTTGCAATTTTTAATACATTTAAGGACGTAAACTTAAACAACTTTAACTCCGCTTAGAATTATCTTATAAAAAGCGTCATTTTATCAATGCGTAAAACATTCGTTACATTTAATCGCTCATGACTTATGAGAATTATCAATTCGTGTATGCAAGAGCTCCTTTCTAACGTTTTAAGGCGAGGTGTGAACTCTGAAAATATTTGATTCCGATCTTCAAACATTCCGTATACGCGGATGATATTTCATCCAATTTTATTGCTTGAGACCGTACGTAGTGTAAGTAACGATGAAAAGAAACGAAAGATCTCACGATAGAAATTGGTACTTGGGCAGGCTCCATAAATCTAAAGCTCCGGCAGTTCTCAAGTAGCTTCCTCTCGAGCGAGCACTTCACTCGTGTCTCGATTTTGTTCTGTTTTTTTCCCTTCCCTCTTACATATTCTTGTGTTAATTTTTTTACGAGATTACTATTTACTCATTTTCTTTTAATATCTTTTGCAAGAGTGGCATTTGAACTGTTGATCGTTAGACAAATTTGGAACTTTTTGATGTCATATCTTTATTATATATTTTTTTACGCGTGGAATTTCGAAATTCCATTCTATCGCATTGTTTTGATCCGAAGATCGGCCGGTCCCTTCGATTCGGCGGTACGACGTCACGAGTTCGGCATCGCGACGCCTCGGAACCGACGTCGTGGGTGGTCTGATGACGATGCTGCCAGTCAAAATCTCTCGTGGATCCAAATGCTCTCGGGTGCGACTGTGCTCGCGCCATTTCTTGTTTTTTTTTTTTTTTTCTCTTCGAGAGGAACGCATACGGCGGTGTGCCCACGCGCGCGAGCGCGTACGCGAAGACGCTGGCTTTCAAGGAGCACAGAAGTCGCTTCTGACCGAATACCGGCACAACAGGCCATAGTTCGGAGTAAAGAGATCGCGCTCCAGAAATATACGGAGAGCGCGGCGTGTAAGAAGAGTAAAAAGGCGAGCCTACCGCGTGAAGTCTGTGTGGATCGATCTCGTTTACACTCCACTGACTGACGGAAGACGAACAAGAAGAAGAAGTCTGCAGTGGAGAAAGCGTGGGTGGCGGCATTTATCTCCTGTCGATCCACATTGTATCAAGATACAAGGGAGGAAAGAGATTTGCTCTTCTCAACCGAAATTAGACTGTTCGCAAACCAAGTTAATTGTGAAAGCTTGGCTGACAATACTGTTATTTACTTAAACTAAAAAAATACTATACCAAATTGTAGTCCTTAATTAGATTTATAAATACAATATATTACAATCCTTTTTATTGCTAAGAAGAAAGAGAATACATCGTGATTTAAAAATTGCAAAGCTCCATGATTTATTCGATTCATTTCGATATATCACACATTTTCCTTCATCAAATTAAGATTCAATTGAAAAGAGTTAGGATCAATATGCAGAATTTAAATGATCAATTTGTGGATCGATATGCTTTCGGTAGATTAGCATCGTAAATATTACGATGCATCATTCTCCGCAGAGTTAAGACCGAATTAAATCATTTCGTTTATGCTTCTGATAAATATTTACGCGATAAACGATTCGAGCACGCACTTGCTAACACGCGACTACGTTTGAGAGGCAAAAAACTGCATTTTATGCGCGCCCCAAACACCACTTGACCTCGGAAATCAATAATAATTATTGATTTGACGGTCCATAAAGTGTCTACCTAATCATTAAATTATCTTTGCATCATGCCATCGAGAAAAAAATTATCTTTGATAAAATTTCATAAAATATCGACAGGCGAGTCAAAGTCAGACGAAGAAAACAAACTTCTACTACAGCATAGATTGCAAATAAAATATTACAGTATGAAATTCGGCATGACGTTTTTCTTGCATCAAAACATGAAGCGTTTCATTATCATTGCCATAAAGCGTAGTGTTAACGAGTATTTTATTATCGCGTCGTGACGCTCTGGCGAGTAAAATTAATCTCTCGAGGAAAGAAAACGCCTCGACGTTTCTGTCTTACGGCGGGTTACACGTGTTAAGTTACAAGGTACAAGTTATGAGCCTGAAGCGTCGCATAGATGTGACAGGGATGTCGTCTTCGTTAATAGTTTCTGTCAACTACGACTTGCTCTGTATCCGCCCATCCAATGTATTTCAGTAATATTCACTTTTTAATATTCTATTATCGCGATTAAAGGTGTGTAAACGCAATATTTACTATAAATATATAATTTTTGTTTTAAATTTAAATTTTTGTATGAAATGTATTAAGGATTTATTATGTCATGTCATAAATGCAATTTGCAACTGCAATTATACAATATTACAAATTTGTTGATTATTACTTATTATTGAGAAAAAAAAAATCAAATCAAATTGACATTTAAAATATCTTTTAAATTGTAATAATATTATATCTGTTAAACATAATATGCAAATTTTGAGCTAAATAAAATCGAATAAAAATAAAAAAATCATCTCTTTTTTAAATACACAATTTGTGGATCAAGTCATGTCTAAGAAATTCAAACTATAAAGGATGGAATTTTGAAAGAGTATGTGTTTCGTGCTGTGGTTTCGCTTCGCAGGATACGGCGCCTGGAAGGCCGTAAACTGTCTCCAATTTTCCAGATGGCCCCTAAACGACGTCGCGTCAAACGTCGTCTTCGCGATGCAGAGATCTCGACATTTCGTTATTATCTGTCGTTGTCATATTTCATGGTCTCGTATTTTATTGTAAGGTTGCACTTTAAGTTCTTTACCAAAATCTTTCTCCTATTAAAGCGATACTATACATCGCTTTTAAGTAAGATGAGTCTTTGTACGATATTGTTTTTAATTATCATAAGTATGTACATTTTTTGCTCTCAACATTTTTAGGCTGATTTGGTGTATTATTATTTGTAAGTTTCTTTTTCATCACATTTCACATTTTCTGTCATATTTCACAATAAGCAATTCAATTAAAGAGTTTATGATTTGGAGCATTAATTATTTCACACGATTCAGAGCAAAACTTTTTCAGATTAAATGCATGATACAATTTTAAAACATTCACATTAAAATAGCAAGACAACAATACAATTAAGAATATTTCATACCACAAAAAAATAATTACTGATTAAAGAAAAAAATGCTCAAAAATATGATTGTAATCTCGTGAATAACATATCTTGGGGATATCTAAAAAGCGTTCTATTTTTTTCAGACATCTTTTAGACGCAAATGTCGTTCGCATGTTATGATTCGTAGCGAGATACAACAAAGTAATACGATTATTTAGCAATGAGTAGTTTACGCAACGAATGCGAAAACGTCGTGGCTCACCGTGATCCGCTACAGGTGTTTGACAGCCGCTATGGGGCGAGCTGACGTTCGTCATAGGGCTACTATTGCCGCCCGACTGCTCCTGCATGGATTGCATGCCGATGTTGACGCCGTGACCGGTGGCACTGTTGACCCCCGCGAGACCGTAGCCGACGTAATAATCCTGTCCGGGTGCCTGGGTGGTGGGTGTCGAATTGGCGCACTTGTAGCTCATCATGGCTTCGTCCTTGTAATCGGCGTGATGCTGTTGATGATGATCCTTGATCGCCGGGAAAGCGTCGGCCGGCGGTCTGTAGGCGGTCAGCTGATCCTGACTCCTGGTGCCGAATCCGGGCTCGCTCTTGAACGTCACCAGTTCGCCGTTCCTGTACACCGACGGCGCGGGCTCGCCGCCG